TGATTAATGGGTGAATAAAAGACCTTTCAAACAACCATACATACAATATAAACTCCGCCACTATATGTGGCTTTTTCAAGCTTCACTAATAAAAGATGTAATCACTTGTATTCTGTTTAAATAGATAACAATGGTAAATTTATTATACATATTGGATTGACAATTAATAATTTAAACAGCTTGTTTTGTGTCATACTACCCAGAGTTAACTTAGTTGCATCAGTGCTAAATGATCCTGAAATTACTATATTACTACAGAAATCTGTGTGAGTAGATAACATTTGAAAACACTATTGTGTTGATTTTTAAACTCCGAGTCACTTAACTAAATTACTTCTTAAATATTAATTATTTTCTATCCCATACAAATGATATTAGCTGTGGGAATTTTCACGACTTGAATATTTGCTAAAGCTATTTTATATGAATATATTTAAATCACATTATACAGTATTGTTTTAACGTGTTTTATTGTTGGGAAGGTTATTTGGTAAAAATAATGTGAAGTACATTTCACATGAGAATTATGAATTAGTTTGTTTTTTCAACAAATTTATTAGAATACTCTTCACAAATAACGTTTTAAAAATATTCCAAAAATGATAGAAGTACGCCCTCACAAATAAACTTACTTCTAGAATCCCTCACTAATTCATTTAATATCAAACACGCTGACTAACTAATTGAACCGCAGAAGTGGACTATCACTTTGTAACTCCTAACTGACACTGAACTTAATAACTCACTGATTATCCATTCATTACTCATGGATTAACTGCTTCACTGCCTTATTTATATCCTACTCTTATCTATACTCGAAGCATCTAGGTTATTAACTTTTATTAAATTTCTAGATATGGTGTCATGCGCTCTCTAGCAAACAAACATCGCAATAAAACATTGAAAACAGAGCTTAAAACACACACATCTACACTCCAGTTTACACTAAACTACCATATTACATGAAGATGTTAGAGCATGTTTCAATTATTCAGTAAAACATTATCATATAGTATTTTATTATATAAATTTGTTTTTATGAGACACTATACTTTATGATGGTTTAAACAAATCTTTGTCAGAGCGGCTACAGATGAACAAACACTGTGATACTTATTACGTAATGATTACACAGGAAGTGGAGGCTGTGTTAAAGATATAATGTAATAACATCTGAGAAGTGACAAACGTTAATAAATTCACTTCTGATATTCAACAGCTCCATAACGAGTCCGTTATTTGTCTCCATCAAAACTACTTGATATTAATGGTTGTATACGATGGGTTTCAGGGAAAAGTATAGTCACAAGTATCCCTATGAAAGAACAAAATACAATAGGTATATGGAAATGAAATTAAAAATTCTTTATCATTACACAATTAAATAATGTATGTTTAATAATGCATAAAATGTTTCATTATAATTCATATTATATGAATAACGAATATCAAACTGTATCAATCTCATAGTCAATATATGTTGATACCCCTTACGAATCCCTTAAATAACTGAAAATAATTTTGATAATTATATTTGATACAAGACAACAGTATTAGGATTAGTGTAATTTTTAACAATACGTCTTACTTTTGTTCTATTAGCCTTTATCCAAGTACATAATACTATTTCAACCACCTTATTACGGACGACGCGTTTCGCTTAATACCAGAGCTCATTAGTCCAGCTGGGATACAAATAACATAAAAGTGTTTCTTGCTCTTGAATGTTTCGGATTTCGACAGTTTTATATAACAAATTTAATTGAAACTTCAAATGAAACTACTAATATATAGGTTGTTTTTCTCTTTTTCCTAAAGACCTATGTACGAGATTTTTACAAGTGAATATTAAACCATGATATAAGTTACGTTGCTTTATCAGTAAAGTTTTGACATAAATTATCGTTTGATTGTCACGGTTATATAACTTTGTGTCATATATAAAGGATATATACTAGTAAAACTAATCATGAAAAATAAAAAAATCCAGATCTTTGAAATACAGTAAATAAGAACATATCTTATTCCTTGAATAACAACACTTGATTCTGACTTATCTTACCTATGAATGAAACAGTTGCTGTCACACAAAACGTAGCAAACCATCCTAATGAAGAAGTAATACGATGGAGAACTAAAGGCCAGAGAAAGAAAGAAGCTGTCTGGAATATAAAGTCATGAATTATCAGTTAAAACTCGAACGGTTTATCTTAGGTATTATAGCAAACTATCATCTTTATTTTTGATATTTTCAAATCTAGAAGATAACATTTATTTAATGTAAGTAAACTTTGGACTTAAGTTGGATTTTAAACAAACGTATCAACGTTGATGAATCATTTC